TGGAGAACACAGAATTCTTCCCCTTGCAGGGACCACATAACCTCCACACCAAACATAATAGTAGCAAATGATCTCAAAATGACAAAAAGTGATTAGAGAATCACTAGAGTCAATAGAGAAGAAGTTCTGAGCAGAGAAGAAGTTCTGAGCAGAGAAAAGATTCATATTTGGAACCATATAATCCAGAAGACAATTGGGGGTACATGTTGCATCCTGACGGACTCCAGAGCACCTACGAGAAAAGATCTTTCCTTTCAACTTCAGAAGAAAATACTTGAGAGAAGAAAATGTTGTGGGTTTTTAAAAAAAACTTGTATTTTAGGTTCAAGGATACATGTGCAGGTTCATTATATAGATAAACTCACATCACAGGGATTTGTTGTGCAGATTATTTCGTCACCCAGGTATTAAGCCTAGTACCCAAGAGAAGAGAATTTTGAAAGGGATGGGGGAAAAGGTGAGATGTTCTGCTACCTGTAGGCAGGTGGAATGTCTCTAGCAAGCTGACAGTAAGCAGTAATCACTGTAGATAATCTTTCTTTTTTTGAGACAAGGTCTGGCTTGTCACCCAGGCTGGAGTGCAGTGGTTATATCTCGGCTCATTGCAGCCTTGACTTTCTGGGCTCAAGCAATTCTCCCACCTCAGCCTCCTGAGTAGCTGAGAATACAGGCACATGCCACCACACCTGACTATTTTTTGTATTTTTTGTAGAGACAGGCTCTTGCCATGTTGTCAAGGCTGGTCTCAAACTCCTGGACTCAAGCCATCTGCCCACCTCAGCCTCCGAAAATTCTGGGATTACAGGCATAAGCCACTGTGCCTGGTCCTACTGTAGATAATCTAAGTGTTTGTGTATCTTACTGATAAGTTAAATATTCTGCCTAGCCAACTGTCACATAAATGAACTTTTTGAAATAATGGGGTCTTGCCATGTTCCCCGGGCTGAACACAAACTCCTGGGCTCAAACCATCCTCCTACCTCCACCTTCTGAGTAGCTGGGACTACAGTTACGTGCCACCACACCCAGCTCTAAACGAACTCTCTAGCAATGATGAATTAAACGTACAAATCTTATCAGAATACATGTGACTATGGTCGTTGCTGATTTTATACCCATGTCCAAATTTAAGAGTTGAGAAACCAGTACTGAAGCACGGCAGAAGGCACAAGCCTGTCAGGAGGCCTGAGTTTTCTTCATATTACACTTTTAATTCATTGTATGACCTTGAGCAAATCATTTAATTCCTCAAACACTACTCTTTCTCAACCATAAAACAAAGTTTATCTGCCTCTCAAACATCCATTCCAGTTACGGGTTTTTTCCCTGCTAATTCTGTTTAACTAAAAGCAGATCATCACTTAACTGAATGTTTAAAAAGTTTTAAAGCTTACCATGAAGATTCTTGATGTCAAATTTGGTGAAAAATTGCACAATGATAAATTCCCATAACCCCTAAGATTAGCTTGGTAATTTATTTAATACATTTGTAGAAACAAAATTAAGTAACTCCCCTCAATTTATTATAAACTACCCATATTTGAGTTATTACTTTCGGAGACAGTCAAATGCCTAGGCAGACAAAAAGGGGTCCCCAGAAAATCTCCCACCTGCCCCACAAGTGTTTACATCAGATGCTTTTGTGCAGATGAGGGAACCTGCCCAGGACCTTGTGTGAGCATGCCCGCATGCGCACTGGGGGAATGGGGTGGAACCAGGGCAGGGGAAGGAGCCTGGCCTCTTCAGTTCCTGTGTGGTGGCCTGGGATTCAATCTGTGAGGTTCTTTTTCAGTCCCCTGTAGTAGCCTGGGATTCATCCATGAGGTGGGGGCCTGATAATAGGACTCCATCTCGCTTTGCTGAGTTTTTTCTTTTTTTCCTTTTGCCCAATAAAATCCTGCTCTACTCACCCTTCCATGTGTCCACGTGTCTAAGTTTTCCTGGTCATGTGACAAGAACCTGGTTTTAGCTGAATTGCGGGGCAAAATTCTGCATTTCTAAACGTTTGCATTTGTTATTAAACTTTAATTGAACTGGTTTTCAATCTTTTCTACTGAAGGGTCAAATTTAAACTTTTTTTCTGATTACAGAAGTATTAAATAATAATTGTCAAAACTGAGAAAATAGAGAAGAGAAATAAAGCTCCCAACATTCACAATCTTGAAATAATTACTGTTAGCATTTTGATATTTACCATCCAGCCTTTATTTTCAAGAAACACGCATAAGAAAGAAGGTGAGAATGTATCTGTTTTGTTTTAAACATCATTTGGAACATACATATAATTTTCTATCCTGATTTTTCACACATTATTCAGTAAGCAGTATTCCATATTATTAACGTTTTTAAAAATATATTTCTTGTGTCTATGTAACAAGAATACACCAGCAAATTTCATCATCCTTCAATTTTTGAGAATTTAGTTTGTTTCTGGCTCTTGGTATTTCCAAATGATTTCTCAGAATGAGTTTCACTATCTGCAGCAGTTTAGAATAGTATTTCATTGTATCCTTGCAAATACTGAATATTTCCATCTGTAAATCTTTGTTAACCTGACAGGTGAATCAATACAAATGACTAAAACATGCATTTTAATTTGCATTATTTTGCTTAGTGAAGTTTTTAAACGTCTTATTCATTTGTATTGCTTCTGAGGATCATTCATATCCTTGAGATCAGATTTACTACAAAAAAATTATTTTTAAGTGAGATTTAGTTTTAATATAGGCTTATAGAATGCCTGTAGGAAGTGCTCTGTCAAGTCTATAGCTATATTTTTTAATCAAACTTTTTATATTGAGACAATTGTAGTGTCACATGCAGTTTTAAGAAATAATATACAGATGACCTTTATACCTTTAATCTAGTTTCCCCCAATGGTGACATGTTACAAAACTATTGCAATAACACAACCAGGATAACTGACATTAATACAGACAAGATGCAGGATTTCCATCCCTGACCCGTGGCAATCAATTATTCTGTTGTCCATTTATATAAATTTGTCAATTCTGAAGTGTTACATAATGGAATTACACAGTATATAAGCCTTTGAGATTGGCTTTTTCTTTAACCATAATTTCCTACAGATTCATTTCAAGGTGTGTTCATCTAGTGTGTTCCTTTTTGTTACTAAATATTCCATAGGATAGATGTGCCAGTTTCTGTAAACCTTTATAGTTGAATTCTAATGACTATTTCATTAATACATTTGTCTAATTTCAAGAACTGGAAGGAGAAAAGAAAATGCATTCAACTATTTAGGAAGTCATTCGGTCATCCCAACATTCACTGAAAGCAGACCATTGGGACAAATGTTATCTCATGCTTCTGATTACAAAAATAACTAAAACCCAAATAAAATAAAAATTAGTTAAGTAGCAGTGCTAAGACTGAAACCAGATAGGTATTTAAAGCAGCAAGAAAATGAGTTCAGAGAACATTTTATCATCAATAAAAACTTTCTAAAATCTAACAAATTTTCTAGGTTTAATTAAACAGGCTAAAAACTTGATGTGTCCAGTCCATGAGAGCATCCTCCTATCCACTGGACTAGGTGTCTACTAAGCCACATCTTATATCTATTTGAGGCCAACTGTCTTGAGGCCAAACAAGACGCGAGTTACATGGTAGCACTTGAGAGGGCTGCGGACCCATCAGAGCAGCCTTCTCTTCCCATCTACAGCAGTTCTGGGCAGCATGCTTGGAATGGCAACGCTGGCGTCCCCGAAAAACCCCAGCCCTCTTGCCAATTTCGTCTGAACCCCAACTACCCGACCCCAAATTATTTGAAGATCTGATTTTAAACGAGGCCAATAGTGCACCATTATTGTTTCCCTAAAACACTAACAGTATGGAGATTAAGACACAAACCAGAGACCGGAAAAAAATATTGGTGCGTTCAAAGTAACCGCAGTTCCCGACTCTATTCTCCACCTATGGTGCAATATTAACAAAAACTAAGCACAGCATGCAGAGAAACGCCCTTTCGCACTTATAACTTCCGGCCTGGGACTCTAGCTCCTCACACGCCTTTGATACAAAGTGCGAAGGCTGAGCCTTAACCATGCCAAGCCCAGAGTCCTCCGGACTAGGATGCCCGAAACTGCAATGAGAGAGGGAAATTTCCTAGTCAGGTCAAGGTCCAACAAAACAAACGTCCGCACGCAGAAACTGAATCGTCTCGCAGGCAGAGGCAGCTGAACCAGCAGCGAGCGGAAGTGACGCAAAGGCCGGTCACGGGTGAAGGCGGGTCCCCGAGGCAGCGCGCCCAATTGGGGCGCGGTAGAGGCCGGGGGTGTGGCAGCGTCGGCGGCAAGCGGGGGCCTGAGGGTGTTGGGGGGCGGGGCCAGGGTGTAGGCTCGCGGGGACTGGCCTCCTTCGGCAGCTGGAGGCGGTCACTCGCGCAGGGCTGGGGGCTGAGGCAAGAAGGGCCATGCTGGCGGCGAAGGAGTCTAGACCCTTCAGTCCGGTGCTCCTCCCTCGCGCAGCGGTGGCTCTACGGCCGCGGGAGTAAACACTGCCTTTGTTCCCTGGCGCCTGGTCTCTTTCGTCGCCCCGTCCCCTCACGCCGCCGCGCTCCGGCCGGCCCGCCCTCGGTCCCTGAACCCCATTTCGGCTCGTGCCGCGCGGATGCGGCTGCCGGGCCTGGGATTGGGCATTGAGCGGGAGGAGGAGGAGGAGCGGCGGCGCCTGGGCGGCATGCGATGGGGAACTGCTGCTGGACGCAGTGCTTCGGACTGCTCCGCAAGGAAGCTGGGCGGCTGCAGCGAGTAGGCGGCGGCGGAGGGTAAGCCCGCTGGGGGAGGGGCCCGGCCCCCGTGGCTCCTCCTATTCGGCCCCCGGCGGGGAATCCCTTTCGCTGTCCCCCGGCGGCTGGAGGTGGCGGCCGAGAGCCCTGCTACACTCACTGCTTAGCAGACGTCAGACGGGTGGTCGTGTTGGAGGCCCAGTGTGGGGGCCGGTCTCTGGGCCTCCTCGGAAAGAGGTAGAAGAGGGGGCGGGGTGTCGCTCCTGCCAGGGCACCCTGTCACGCGGGGAAGGAGTCACGGGAGACATCGTCTCCAGGAAACAAGGGGTAACCTCGCGCTAATGGGCTGTAGGATCAGCTCCAGGGCAACCTGGACACACCCTGCGCTGAGCTTGAGTTTAATGCCAAAGCTAGTATCCCTGTATCTGACCCTCTCTTTAGCCCAGGCAGAGCAGGTGGGATCTGGCTACGGACTTAATGCCTCAGATTGATTTTACGTAGAAGTCATTTGGATGCTGGAGTAAAAGAAGGTTTCAGATACTGATGAACTCTTTGATAGCTACAAAGACTTGCTGAATTGCAGAGTTCCCAATGGGCATTCAGATTCTTGGTGCTGGTAACACAGGGGCTATGTGTAATTTTTTCATATTAAGTTTTTGAAATTTCGAGAGTAATTCCTTGCCCTGATTGCTACTCAAACGTCCTATAACATCAGGTAAATTACAGTCCCGAACTTAACTTCTCTTAAGTAAACCTGGGATATGCTTAGGTTTTGTATATGCACCATCCACAGAATAGAAATTTCATAATTCCATTTTTGTGTATTTTGTTTCATAGATATTGAAAAAATTAGAGCAAATTCCTTTGGGGTTGACTTTGTTGTTATTGAAAATCTGAATCAAGCCAGTTTGTGTAAGGACTATTTTGCCCTTTCTGAAACAGATTGCTAATTTTTCATAATCTGTTCCATTTAACATTATTGGGTAATAAGATGTTCAACATAAATAAATTGAACTAAATGATCATGATTTGCATCTTTGGTAATGGAGATCTTATAAAATATAACAGGATTCTCATTCATTAGGCATTGTGTTACCTCTCTGATACAAAGTAGCTAAGGTTTTACACTAATTATCCCTAGAATGGAAGGGCAAGGATTTGCAGTTTGTGCCTAGTTTTAATATTTCGATTTCCCTAATTTAAGAGTTCTTACTGTTGAGTGGGACATGACAGCTGTTTTATCTTGTCATCCAGGATCATCTGATTTAAGTATTTCTAATTTTTATGTGTGAATGCAATTTACAAGGTCAGGCTGCTTAAGTAGGCTTGCCCAAAAACTAGATACCACACAGTCTTTGGCTTTTACTAGTATTCGTAGTTGTGTTACAGGGCGTTAAATTCTAGCTCTAAGAAAGTTGGTTTGTGGGGAGCAGTACTTATATTCTAAATGGATAAACAAAAAACTTTGTACTTGACTTTGGACTACATGATGTGTCTGTGGGACTTTAGTTTTGCTTTTTTCATATGGTCTCCATAGAGTACAACGTTAAAATTGTATGTTCTACTCCCTCAGCTTATGAACTTGGCAGCATAGGGAGGTGGCAGGAGGAAATCCATGAATCAGCGTGAGTGTTAATTGTCTGTAGATATGCCATAAAAACATAAGCAGGTTGACTATGAGTTTTTCTTTTCTTTTTTTTTTTTTTTGAGACAGAATCTCGCTCTGTCGCCCAGGCTGGTGTGCACTGGCGCGATCTCGGCTCACTGCAACCTTCGCCTCCCGGGTTCAGGCCATTCCCCTGCCTCAGCCTGCCAAGTAGCTGAGACTACAGGCGCCCGTCACCACACCTGGCTAATTTTTTTGTATTTTTAGTAGAGACCGGTTTTCACCGTGTTAGTCAGGATGGTCTCAATCTCCTGACCTCATGATCCGCCTGCCTCAGCCTCCCGAAGTGCTGGGGTACAGGCATGAGCCACCGCGCCCGGCCAGCAGGTTGAGTATTTCTTATCTGAAATACTTGCCTTGGAGTTCAGATTTTTATTCAGATTTTGGAATGTATGCATTGTATATGGTTTAGTATCTGAAAATCTGAAATCCAGAATTCTCCAATGAGCATTTCCTTTGAGTAACATGTTGGCAATCAAAAAGTTTCGGATTTTGGAACATTTCAGATTTTGGGTTTTGAGGTTAGGTATACTCAACCCGTGGTTGGATTTTTACTGTTTGTGGGCAAAACTCCTTGAACAAGTCCTGTGGAGGCAGTGAGAGTTTATAGGTTGTGGACAGTGTGATCTAAAATCATATAATGGTGATATTAATCCTATTACTTTAAGTCTATAAACATAGGATTTGACAGTTCCCTTACTTGAATTTTCTGATTAACTTATTGTTTAACATCAATTTTAATACTGTTTTAGCAGCTTCCAGTAAGCATGTAGAGAGAGATGGACATAGTTACTTGTGCAGTAAGGTTAAACTGACTCTTATTTTAATTTTTTTTTTAAATCAACTGTTTTGATTTTCTTTCAAGTACAGGTCTGGATAGTCAGTAGTTCTTCTAAAGGTGAAAAGTTGAGGAGTAGTCACAAAAACTTGATTTGATCCTATATGTCGTTGTAGTGACCACAGAAGAAGAGAGTGTCCTCAACTTTTTTAGCTTGATTTAAGCTAGACTTCACAGGGATGCTTTCTGATCTGAGGCCTGGTTTCTGAGTCTTGCAGATCGACATACCCCTGAGAAATCTGAAACTCAGATCACTCATTTTTTACTATTCAATCTGAAAACCAGAATTACCACTTTTTCAGTTTATAAAATACTAGGGAATTCTAGTATTGTATATTCTAGGATATGTTTCATCGGTCAAAATATCAATATCAGTGTTGAGGTATGTTGGAAACCTTACTACTAATAAAATTATTTGGTGATTAAAGCAGAGAGAATTAAATGTCTTTAAGGAAAAAAACCTAGGCATCTTAACGAGTCATACTTCTTCACTGGAGTTTTGCCTGCCAACAGTTTCTACAGGGCTCCATCTGCTGGTCAGTTCTCCTGTTTCTCTGAGCAGGCCTTTGTATATTTCTTAGTTTTTTTTCTTTCTCAGATGGAAGACCGAATTAAGTTTTATTTTGTTGTATTTAATTCCTATTTCTATATTACTATATAATTCCACATAGTGATTCCACTTAAGATAAACTATAGGTTTTATAGAAAGGTATAACCATATTTTGTATCCTTATCAGTACGTAATATTTGTTCGCCTTTTTGGCTCTGGCAGCAAAGTTGCTTTCAGGCAATAGTTTACAGTGATTTGCTTTTCCATTCCTAGTAAAAATGCTTTTAATAATAACTGCTAACAGTCCATTACTTCCTATGTGACAGGCACTGTTCTAAGTAGGGCAAGCAAGTATACATATTATATGTATTATAGGTTGAAAACTGAAACTTAGAAAGTTGAACTTTCCCAAGGTAGCAGAGCTGGGATTGCAACTTAGGTCCCTCTGAATTCAGAGTTCTTATCCTTAACCATCACAAATAGTTCATGGCACTTATTCTATAGGTAAACATTTGGTTGCTATCTCTCTCATTGCAGTATCTTGAACTTTGTCACCAGAAGAATTTATGAATATACCTGAACAACTTGACTCTTTATTCTGTGTGCTAAGCTGTCTTTTTCTTGAACCTATGCACTTCACTTCTGCAACATCACCTTTATCTTGTTTTTCTGTTTCTCTCCTAGCTATTCTTACTGTCTGTTAAATGTGGGGTTTTTCCTGTCTTCTCTCTTTTGTTTAATTTCCTTCATATGTGTATTACCTGCCCCTGAAGAAAGTTACCCATTTCTATGATTTCAACCACCACTACTTCCAAATCTCATCTTCTGCTTGTAGATCTTTTCAGTTGTCTACCTAAGAGGAACTCTTGGATATATTCAGTTAAATCTCTATATATTATTTTCAGTCTCTCCTTAAACATACTGAACCTATTTTCTTCCTGTCTTCTGCCATAAACATTGCCTTTCAAACTGCTTAGTCAACAGCTTCCAGACTACTGTCTCTATTGTAGCTGTCATACTTCAGCCCACCCTCCCTTCCTGTCAAGACTTAGGCTTTCTAAAACCCACATTGGATTGTTTCTTTCCTTTGTTCAGCAACTTCCATCTGCTCCCTGATTCCCATAGCTAAATTTCTAAGTCTTTTTTTTTTTCCAAGAAGGAGTCTCGCTCTCTTGCCCAGGCTGAAGTGCACTGGTGCGATCCTGGCTTACTACAACCTCTGCCTCCTGAGTTCAAGTGTTTCTCTTACCTCAGCTCCGCAAGTAGCTGGGATTACAGGCACCCGCCACCATGCCTGGCTAATTTTTGTATTTTTAGTAGAGACGGGATTTTACCATGTTGGACTGACTGGTCTTGAACTCCTGACCTGAAGCAATCTGCCCACCTCGGCTTCCCAAAGTGCTAGAATTACAGGCATGAGCCACCGCGCCCGGCCCTAAATGTCTAAGTCTTTTTTCCTTCTGTAACAGCATGATGAATTACATGGCATTCACATGTATGGCATAATGTCCATTTGTATGCTCAGGATTATATTTAGTTCTATATTTGGGTTTCTATAATCTCTTTGTCAAAAAATGTCAGGATACTAATCAGTGAGAAAAACATTAAAAGAATAACATTAAAGCTATTCTAATTTCAAAAAACTTGTCATTCATAAATCTTAGCATTTTAACGTTTTTGATAAATTACTATCCTCCCAGCTACTAGTTTAAACTTCTGACAAAGCAATGTAACCTTAACCTGTTTTTACCAATGTTATTCTCTCCCATCCTCTCACTTACCACTTTCAATGTCCTATATACCAGATGGACTGTGCTTGTTCTTGTTTTCCTAAAATACAGTGTTTTCTTCCCCCTCCCCCCAAGACGGAGTCTTGCTCTGTTGCCCAAGTTGGAGTGCAGTGGTACGATCTTGCTCACTGCAACCTCCGCTTCCCAGGTTCAAGCAATTCTCCTGCCTCAGCCTCCTGAGTAGTTGGGATTACAGGTGCGTGCCACCACACCTGGCTAATTTTTATATTTTTTAGTAGAGACGGGGTTTCACCATGTTGGCCAGGCTGGTCTCGAACTCCTAACCTCATGATCCCCCCACCTCGGCCTCCTAAAGTGCTGTGATTACCAAATACATGTTTTCTAACCCTGTGCCTTTGTGGGTGATATTTATTTTCTTTTTTATTTTTATTTTATTTTTATTTTTTGAGATGAGGTCTCACTCTGTCACCCAGGCTGGAGTGCCGTGGTGCAATCTAGGCTTATTAAAACCTCTACCTCCCAAGCTCAAGCAGTTCTACCTCAGCCTCTCAAGTAGCTGGGACTACAGGCGCAGGCCACCACACTTGGCTAATTTTTGTATTTTTTGTAGAAACACACAGGGTTTTGCCATGTTGCCCATGCTGGTCTCAAACTCCTGAACTCAAGTGATCTGCATACCTCAGCCTCCCAAAGTATTGGAATGACAGTCGTGAGCCACTGTGCCTGACCTCTGTGATATTTCTTCTTTTTTTAGTTTTTTTGTGAGCTTTCACTTACCTTTACCTTACTTTACTTACCTTCCCTATGAAACTCGCTCCAAGCCCCTGAAGCCATATTATCTCCCTGAGGAAATAATATTTTCTACAGGCTTATTTTTGCTGTATATCAAGGGTTGGCAAACTTTTTCTGTAATGGGCCAGATAACACGTATTTTAGGGTTGGCAGGTGGTGTGGTCTGTCGCAACTACTGAACTTGGCTGTTTTAGTGGAAGAGCAGCCATAGACAGTGTTTCAACAAATGAGTGTGACTATATTTCAATGCAACTTTATTTACAAAAACAGGCAGAGGGCCAGATTTGGCCAGTGGGCCATAGTTGCCAGCTCCTGGTATCATATGTACCATGATATAGGCTGAGACCTCCTCAAGGTCAAAGACTGTGTTTTATCACTCTATCCATTCTCAGTATCTTATGTTTGTTGAAGGAACAGCCAGAAGAGTTATTTGAACTTGTAGGATCTACAAAACTATAATTTCTCCTATCATTCATTTTTGTTATGGCCTAAAGATAATTCCCTAACTTTGGCAAAAACACCACATACCCAGATACTTAAACACATACCCTACCAGTTTTATATTGACTCACCTTTTTGTTTTTAAAGAGATCATATTGAGTACCTTTGAGAATTTTAAAAATATTTATTATAATATATATTGCTAAAATATAGAAATCAATAGTGTCATCATTAGATTTATTTTGGTTCTGCATGTTTTTCAGTTTTGAAAAAAATATAAAAGTGTAAGATGTTTCTCTTGGAATTTCAGAAGATAGGAAGGAAAACAGTAGTGCATTTAAATGGATATGGATTTTTTAAACATTCTTTGTTAAACCTTAAAGACTCCCTAAGGCTCTGGTCTGAATCTCATTCTATTCTTCCCTAATACATTTTTAGCTTTTTTTTTTTTTTTTTTTTTGAGACGGAGTCTCGCTCTGTCGCCCAGGCTGGAGTGCAGTGGCCGGATCTCAGCTCACTGCAAGCTCTGCCTCACGGGTTTACGCCATTCTCCTGCCTCAGCCTCCCAAGTAAGTGGGACTACAGGT